AATTTAAAGAGGAATTAGGTTCCTGATGTTATTTCCTTACCCGGGTTTTGGAAATTGCTTTTGCAGTTGCTCACAGCTGCAACTCAGAAAACTGGTCTTGTTCCCATCGAGCACAAAATCCTGTTTTTCCCTTCCTACAGATGACTGACATGATCAGTGACTGAGGAAGAACCCAGAACAGGAGCAAGACATGATTCCTGCTGGGAAASCCCTRTCAGRTTGTCCTTGAAGCTCTYAGGTAGYRCTGCAGAGAGCACAGSYAGAAGAGCTCAGAGTTCTTCCAGGGCAGGGGCCACCGATCCTGGGYAGCCACAGAGWRGGATTCCTAAGGCAGGGCTGAAAGKGGAATGCAGCCTGAAACTCTATTAATATGCTGCCTCATCCTATTTTACCCTTCCCGGGGCTGTTCTCAATAAAATTGGGTCAGAACAAATTCCTGCTGTGTGCAGCTTTGAAATTCTGGCTCCTTTATTACACAGAATCCAGGAGAAATGGTTAATGGCTTCCAAGAATCCAAGAGAAACATGAACAAACAGTCCTTTATTGCTGCCCAGTACTAAACCATAAGGCCACGTTCAAACTTTGGAGGGTTTGTTTTGCATTTCACTCCTGTCCKAGACAATTGGCTGTTTTATTTTGTTTTGCTCTACTCGTGTAAAGCTTGTTCTCCCATTTACCTCTTCTACTTAATTATCCTGCATCGTTATTCTCCCTTTCAGGTCAAGAGTAATTTAAAATGGCAGCAGCAACGGTTGGCAAGTTTCTATTACATTTAGAAGACCAAAGAAAAAYAAAGAAGAAAAAGAGAAAAAAGTAATTACACCACCATATCATTGGAGTCAATAAGCCCAATCTTGGCATGAAGTGTTACTCAGGATTAAAGATAGCAGATGCCTGCTTTAAGCCACAGCMTCCTGTTAAATACTGAACACAAGCACTGAATATTGTAAAGGTTAAAGGCTCGAATTTATCACAAGTTTATTATGGGAGCATGAATACTTTTACAACTGTAACCCCATAACAATATACACAGTTCATGGAGTACTAAAACTACCAGTGCTGCAAATGTCAATTGGCTCATAAATAATTTATATCCGTTCCATGTGCACATGAATCTAATTGTTTAGACTAATCAGATTCCTCCAAGATGCTGATTATTAGRAGCAGTGGTTTGCCTRGCTGAAAATACATCRCTGTCGATTCGYSGTCTAGAAGAGTTATAAAAGGACAYATTTTGAAACAAGRCAGGCAAGAGGCTGGCAGGACTGTCCCAGCAGGGTGGGATGCCCGGGATGTCCAGCAAAGGCCAGATGTGTCCTGAGTCCCGGGGATGGGCAGCAGCATCTTCAACGCTTTGTATTTTTCTCCACCAGGTGGCCCCAAGCACATAGGTTCACCCCCCCAAAAAAATTCCAGCTGAAATATTTGCCACAACTTCATTAAACGGCACCTGCTGAAATYCGCTGATGCGTTAATGTTTAGAACTGTTTAATTAGGCACGATCAGGAGCCAGTTGTGGGCACCTGCACTGTAACTAAACAGAAGAATTAACAATTTGTTTTCAAAATGCTTTAAATGTGATATCCGGGCAATTAAGATGCGTGTGATTGCACACAGATTGATATTTATAATTTAGTCAGTGTTTTGTTCCCTGAAGTTTCTTTTGTCCATCAGAGTACCAACAGCTCTCAAGRAAAAGACCATCAACAATGTGTGTGGAACAGCAGACAAATCCATTGGTGATGGGAAATTCCCATTGCCATATGCATCTGAGTTGACCTGTACAGAAAAAGTAAAATGTTCTCAGTCCTGGCTCTGGTTTCTCAGGAGAATGAATAAATGCAACATCCTAATGGTAAGCATCCTTAGTTTTCTATCAATTATAATAATTATCTCTTTTGTGCAATTTGGTTTTATGTGGAACTTCTTGCGTGAGTACAATTGAGTATCATTTTCCCATGTTTCATTTTAGGAGATATATGACAGACATGTTCAATCATTAGGGGCGTAAACTAGAGCAAGTACAAGGATTTGGTTTTTTTGTCCTTAGGATCCTGAAGGAGGAAACAGTCAGGAAAGAACAGCTTCTGCAGCTTCAGTTGTTACTACCACTTGGTTTTTTGGTCATGTTCTTTTTGATGCAAGTTTTCTATTTTCCACAGCCTTTTGGTAGGATAAAATTTAACTTTTTGATAGAAAAATCAGGTTTTTTTAAGCTCAGCTTACCATGAGCTACAAGATTTTGCCTCAAGGCAGGTAAGAAGCATGCACACATCCTGRCAAAGGGCTGTAACTTCCAGAAAAACCACACCAACTATGCTGCTGTTTCTGGCTGTGAACATGTCTTTATGGGCTGAAAGTTAGCTGCAGGTGGCTCAAAGAGAAACCAGTCTTTGTGAGAGAAAAGTATAGAGAACACGAGTTAGCCACCTAAAAGGATCGATAGCTGCCTCCATCAGCGTGGGATGAGCTCTCTCTCCTCTGCAGTCACTCTTAAAAAATAAATAGCATTGAGGGCACCTGCTGTGCCTGATGTAGGGATGGGATGAATAAAAAATTGGGATGTTCCCAGGGTCATTGCGGTTTGTTCTAAGAATGGGCTGTGCTGTACCTCCTGCTGGGTTAATTCCAGAATGTAGCCTAAAACCTTTCTCTTGCTATTTATCACCATAGTTCATATTCAGTTTAAGAGTCAAAACAAGTTTTGTTCAGCAGCCAGCTGCAAGCTGGGTCTAGTTTAAAAAAAAAACCAAAAACATCAATTTGAAGTATTTATGCTTCATAAATCACCATCAGCTGATACATGTTGGAGAACCAGAACGCTGCCAGCAGATAGCTGCAGCAGGACAAAATTCGTTTCGTTTCTAACTAGCACTCCTTGTTTCATGACTGGCTTGATTCACACAAATTACCAGGCTATTTCTATCTATTAGTAAAAAAAAAAAGGTTATTCCWGTGCACACCTAGCAAGAGTGTAGGCACACATTCAGTCACTGGGGACACAAACGAGAGGAAGTACAAGTATTTGACAATAGGAGAACAGTGTCCTCAAAAGAAGGTGACATCCTTCACCACCACCATCAGTTTAAGAAGGAGATTTCACAATTTAGCTTTGTTTCCTGAGTGAATCACATTTTTTTAAATCCAGACTATAAGTAGTTGACCAAGCTCTGTCTGAATATCAATGAAAGGAGGTGTACAAGGGAGAAAAATCTCTTTTAAGTAACATTTTAAGTGCTCTCTCCATGGCTAGTCATACACTTGGGGTTTCTGGCTTTCAGTCACACTCCTTGCAACAAATCTAGCGCTGGTGTGCTTATCTGGAGATGAGGTTAATACAGAAGATTATGCCTCTGTTCTTCCACAAACACGGTCAATAAAATCTTTACTACTTGATAGTTAACTCAGAGTTCAAGGCTYCCCTTTTATGCACAGTGCATGTACTAAGCAGATAGGTTTAACAAAGCCTCTCTGGCATTAATTCTCCAGCAATAACCATGTAGTAAAGTGGATTGGATTCCTGCTGCAATCCTGATGGCTGTTTTGTAGCTGTGTGCAGTATTAATAGCTACGAACAGTTTCCTGAAGGACATGCCCCTTCAAAGGCCCCAAGAAAGCAGATAATTAAATACATTTAAATGTGAATTAGTTTGCTGCATTTCATGACTCAAGGCTGAAACTCTTTTACACTGAAGATGTTTAGAACTGAGTCTCTCCATGCAGAGGATGTTAAATGAACTCTGTGCAAAAGCAGGCTAAGGCAATACAAGAATTTGGGCAGCTGAGAGTGTGCCATGGAGGGGAACGGTGGATGGATTGGAGGAATCACAGGAGYAAACTGAGCCATGGCTGTTTTGAGCTGCCCTTCTTCCATCTCAGTAATTTGGGGTCCCACATAAATACAACTTCCTCCTGTTTGTTGAGGTTGGACCCATCTCTGGGAATGGACAGACACTGAATTAATGACATCTTTAGGCTGTAATATTGGGCAGAATCTGAGCAAGAGACAACAGAGTGACACGCTGGGTTATCTGCATTAACAATGAGGAGTAGGGTTTAAAGAGACACGGGTGTGCAAGCAGGTGAAGAGCCCGTTCTATCAATGTGTTCAAACGCTGGTAATCCTTTATGCAAAGATAAAGACGGCTGGTCTGGTGCGTAATTGCCCTTCGCACAACGGGCCGGCGGTTTAAGTCTTTATGATCACCCGATGTTATCCGTCTGCGGTGATGCTCCCTCCCGCTGGCCCCATTTATTTATTTATTTATTTATTTATTTATTTATTTATTTACTTATTTATCCATCTTTTCGGAGCGCGGGGCTTCATTAACACCCAGAGATGAACACCGGAACGCCAGCCCAGCCCACGGTGGGAGCTGAAATGCAGCGGGTGGTGGCGGTGCCCGGCGATGTCCGCCCCTCGCACCGATGGGTTCATGGTCCTCCAGCGAAGGACGGGCAGCGCTGCCTTAAATGGGGCAGGAAAAGCGCTCTCATCGCGCCCCTTCCCCGCGTTAGACGGCACAGGATCCCGGTGGAGCGGGGCCCGGACGGGACGGCTCCAGCTCCGGCTGCAGCGGCGGCGGCTCCGCTCGGCAGCGCCGCGGGGGCGGGCGGGGAGGCGGGGAGGGGAAATCCCCAGGATGGCCGGCCCCCGAGCGGGGACACCGCGTTAGTCACCGGGACCCTCCCCCCGAGCGGGGACACCGCGTTAGTCACCGGGACCCTCCCCCCGAGCGGGGACACCGCGTTAGTCACCGGGACCCTCCCCCCGAGCGGGGACACCGCGTTAGTCACCGGGACCCTCCCCCCGAGCGGGGACACCGCGTTAGTCACCGGGACCCTCCCCCCGAGCGGGGACACCGCGTTAGTCACCGGGACCCTCCCCCCGAGCGGGGACACCGCGTTAGTCACCGGGACCCTCCCCCCGCGCTCGGCTCCGTCGCGCCAGCGCCGCGCCCCTCACAGCGCCCCTCAGAGCGCGGCAGCGGCGGCGGCGGCCGAGGGATGGCGGGCCCGGGGCTGCGGCCGGGTGGGCTCCGCGCCGGGCCCCGCGGCGTGAGGCGGCCCCGCTGCTCCCGGGCATGAGAGGAGGCGGGCAGGGCTGCGGGAGCGCCGGGACCCACCATGCGGGAGCTGGCGATCGAGATCGGCATACGGGTGCTGCTCTTCGGGGTCTTCGTGTGAGTAGCGCCGGGCGGCGGCGGCCAGCGGCACCGCCGGCACCGCGGCAACTTTGCTCGGGTGCCGCGCTGGCAACCCAGTCCCTCTCGCACCAGGCTGGGAATTCGGGGGAAAAGGTGCAGGATAGAGGCGCGGGATGGAGATGCGGGATGGTGGTGCGGGATGGAGGTGCGGGATGGAGGTGCGGGGATGGAGATGCGGAGTGGAGGCGCGGGATGGAGGTGCGGGATGGAGGTGCGGGATGGAGGTGCGGGATGGAGGTGCAGGGATGGAGGTGCGGGATGGAGGTGCGGGGATGGAGACGCGGGGATGGAGGTGCAGGATAGCGGTGCGGGATGGAGGTGCGGGGATGGAGATGCGGGATGGAGGTGCGGGATGGAGGTGCGGGGATGGAGGTGCGGGATGGAGGTGCAGGATAGAGGTGCGGGATGGAGGTGCGGAGCTCGCCCCGTGGGTTCCGGCGGTCCGGGGCAGCCCCCTCGGGATGCCGGAGCGAGCGGCAGCTGCCGCCGGTCCCCTCTCCGGGATGCGGGATTGGAATAATTCCCCTGGGTGAGTCTTTGCGGGAGTAGCCRGGAGCTCTCCCCGACCCGGGGTTTTGCTGAARAGCTGAAGGGAATTTTTCTCGGRGAAGCTGCTGTTTGTGAGAGAAGTGTGCAAAAAGCCGTAAAAATCAAACCTCACGGGTGCTGCCGGTTTCGTTGGTCCGGTTGTAGTTTGTGGGGTGAAGTCTCACCGGGCGGGGCTGTGAATGCGCCTCAACAGCTGGTTCTGGCAGCAGCGGGAGCCCCGGGGCCGGGAGCTGCAGCGCCGGTGGTGACCGTGAGATGGAACGAGTGAGAGCGGCTTTGGGAAGCTTTCCCGCACGCTGCTGGGCAGGGAGGAAAGTATTAAAAATCTAGTTGTTGGAAGATGTGTAGCTATCGCTGCAGGAACATTCTTTTTGTCTTTTTTTTTTTCTTTAAGGAGAAAGCAGTTATGCGTTATTTTGCTTTGTATTCCAGCCCTTTCTTTTCAGGGCTGTGGTCGTTTCTTTCTTTCAGGCACTTTGTGTTCTGCATGCATTTGAAGAATGAAAAGTTCCACTTTATATAAGTTTGCCTTTCCATTGTTTRATTTTAAAGATGAGTGTTGTCAGTCTTAGTGATCTCTCAGGAGCACTACAGAACCGAGATCAGATTGTGCTGTTTGCTCCTTTGGGTTCCTGAGGATGGATGCTGTTGGTCACAGGTAGAGGGAGGGTAGGACATCTGTTAATCTGTGATACTGACTTAGAGCTGGTGAAACAGAACCCTTTGATCAGTACTTTCTGAACCTCTCATGGTTAATTAACAACTTGTCCAATTTACTGGTGTTGGGTTGTTTTTTTGTTTTTGTTTTTTTTTTTTGTTTGTTTTTCTTGGAGCTCATTTCTCTTTAATATTAATGCAAATCTTTTGATTTGCAACAAAACTCTGTGAGGTGCCTTTGATACCTGTCAGTTCAGTTGCATCTTACTTTGAAAGCAGACCTGTTCACTTCAAGAGATCTTCTTTCTGGAATATGTGGGGCTATAGGATGAGCAAAGACCTCAGAAGCTGAGGCTACATCAGAACCTTTCTTTTCTTTCTGATTGAGTGTGTAATTCATCACCCACACCACCCAGTAAGASATGTCTTCATGTACTTTGTTGCTATGATATGTAAATCATGACCSATCATAATTAGTCATTTCTTGGTTGTACTTCTCTTCTGTCTTTATTTCCTCTCTAAAAGATTTCATAATTTTCACTGCTTTTTCTGCTGTGGTTCCAAAGTCCATTGAGGAGGGGTAGCTAACAGAAAAGCTCTTGGCAGAGTCACCATAATGGCAAATACCTATGGAGGAGCTTCTCACATTTTCCCGTAGCTCAGCTCCTGCTTCATTGGGATTCTGGGGAAAAATTCTGATATTTCAATAGGTCATTTGGAGCATTCAATGACATCTGAAAGTACTGAGTGCTGTAGTGTTTTACATTCGGGTCAGTGTTTAGTTTCATGAAGAACTGTACTTTATTTGCTTGTAATAGTTGCAAGAATGCAATCTCTAGGTAGACCAAAAGAAGGGCATTTATATTCAGATAATCTTAACACAAAAGTAATTTCTTGCTATTGCAATAGTATTTAGTAGTTCTCTCAGTTTTCAAAAGTGACAATTATTCACATTTTGAAACTTTCATGCTGCAGAGATTTAAGCACTGTGTTTCCTGTGGTTTCACAGACAGGCAGTGCAAGGATTTTTATGGAGCACTGAGTTCAGGGGAACCTTTTCAGGAATGAGTGCTTACTGGTGAATTTGGAAGCCCTGGGACTGGAATCCAGGCAGCAGCAATTTGAACTCTACTGCAGAAGAGATTTCTAGGAATGGAAAGGCTGCACAGTTTCCACCTCTCTTGGAAAGGAATGCCATTAACAGAAATGAGCTGAGGCTGGGTCTGAGCTCATCTCTGCTGGGAGTGCCAGGACACGAGGAACTGGACAGAAGAGTTCTTTCTGAAAAGGTCTTGATGGCTCTGGGTCACTACCAACCCTTGCAGTGTCAGAAGCCTGACCTTGAAGGTGATGGTTCCACAGCTTTTGAGAGTCCTGCACCATCTGTGCCTCCCAGATGTCTTTGAGCTTCAACCTAACAGCTCACATCACTCACAGGAACAGACTGGTGTATTCTGTACCACAGAATGCAAAAGAAAAAGGTGCATATTCCACACTGGAGCTTCTCTTGGTAATAAATGTCATTTCATAAAAATGGAGGTGTGAAAGCTTCTGTTGATGATTGCTGAAATTGAATGTATTGCCAGTTTGAATGTATTTTAGATGAAGAACAGCCATGTTTTCTATGTTTAAGACTGGCAATGTTTTTTTTTTTTCCTCCAGTTGCCATAATTATCGACGTCAGTCATTCCATCAAAGRCAGAGAAACCTTTGCTTGTTATATAAGATCTCTTCTGTCATGCAAACGGACACCCTTGGAAGTGATGCACATTTTTGGTGGTTGGGTATTGATTGGGTTGAATTCAACAGGCATTTAGGGAGGATAATGGTAACAACTGGCTCAGCTCTAGGTGTGTTCTTGGCAGTTGCTGAGAGCTCACTTAGCAACTAAAGACCCGATTAGGTATTGAAATTTAGCAACTCAAGCTTCTGTGCCTTTACAGAGATCCGTGCTAAAGGGCATTTTAGCCCTCAGGATTTATTGGTATTGAAAGAGGGATTAGTTAGAAGAGATTTATTAGGAGAGCTAYGTCTGCCTGAAATTGAGAAGCAGGAGTTAAAAGAACCCAAACCCATAAAGAGTCAAAACCCAAACAGAACTGGTTGGAGTCAGAAATATACTTAATGCACACTTTATTGMAAAGTTAAATAGGTATTCTTTGAGTGCCTTCAGTGAAGTAGCTCTCAAGATGCWAGTTACAAACTGCAAGGATAGTGATATTTCTGTTCTGCTCCACAGTTTCTCACAGTTCCTTTAAAATTAACAAATTAATTTCTAGTTTTCAAAATATGTAGCCTTACACCTTTTGATTGGGCTGAGCTGGTCTGATGGAACAGGGCTGGTTTGTCCTTCCAAAGTGAAGAAAATTCTCCCACTATAATTTGATTTTTATGCAGTTTCAAATGTTTTTCCATCAAATCTTGACTTTAATCAATTCTCACTTCATATTTTTGTTTAGGTTTTTRCTTATTAAGAAATACTTGTGAGGACAGAACTGAGTTTTATTTTTGAACTGAGGTTTTTCATGTAAGGTCTCAGAAGCAGAAATGATCTATTGTTTAACATAACAATCATGGGGATGTATTTGGTTACAGGAAAAATCCGATGTTATTTGGAAGAATGATTGAATTAGGGTCTTGCATCTCTATTTTCTTCATTTTTTGTACTTATTCATATGACCTGGAGCATCTTAAAATGCTTAATTAATGCTAAAACATGTTAAATATGACCAGACTTTCATTTGCTCCATGTGCACAGTGGCATTGTCTCTTACAGGTTGCTTGAAGAAAGCAAATTGCTTTGACTGACTTGGTTTTATTCAGATAAGCCAATTATAAAAGGATTTGTGGGCAAGTCTGAGATTTTTACACAGGAGTGATGCCCTTAAACCAAAATTTTTCATCTGTCCTGAAAAGACTGGACTGASTGGTAGCTCAGAATGAGCCTGAGGGGTGTCCTTCTTTCTYAGTGTTCTGTTTTAGGAGTCTTCTRGAAGGAAAACCTTTCAAACSTGTTTCAGAAGTTTTAGAAGACCACAYCACAGGGGATTTGTGTGTGTTTGCAATATATTTAACCCAATGACTTGTCAGCAGCACATTGCTGATGTTTAGAGAGCTAATTGATTAAAAAGRCAGTCTTTCAAGGGTGGCTTCATCAAACCTCGAGCTCTTCAGTGCATGTGATGTGATTAAAACATAAATGTCGTTCGGAGTAATTGRATATCTTCCCCGCAGCACGGGCTCATTAGCAGCCTCCCCTGGGAATAAATGTTTATCTGCAGGCTAATGTACATGTATATCTCTCACACACGTGTGAGTTTACAGCATTAATGCTGACATCTTTTGTGTGTGTGCCATGTTCAGTTTCCGGTGTAAAGTAAACAAAAGCTGTCTCTGCACGTCTTGTGTTCTTTACAAGTTTACAGTATTAATATTTTAATCAAGTTATGAATATGCATGGAATAATTTGGTGTGAAAGCTCTTTCAAGTAGCTTGCTTTGTCAGGGGTGGTTGTCTTCTGGATATCCTGCATGTGTTGCCTTTATAAATGATACTTGGTATTGTCTTGTTAACACAGACAGAAAATCGATTACCTGAGGGAATTCTACAGCGCTGAGGTTTTGCTTTGCTCTTATCACASATTGTGTTGGTCTTTTCTCTCTCATACTGGCGGGGTTTTTGGAGGATGGACTGAGCTGAGAATTGCAATCAGTCAGAGCTGTGTAGGCAACAAAAGCAAGATGGTCTTTTGCTAGAAGTACCTCAAAACT